GGCCGATAAAGCGGTACTAGAGGCTGCTTCAGTGTTGCCACGCGCCGCACGACCAAATCACACGCCGAAAACGCAACTTTTGGGAATTTTTTACGCCCTTCCTATTGCGCATTCGGGGAAACGGCTCAAATTGACCTCTAGAATTGGTCCATAGAGTCTGTAAAAAAAAATTCAGCCCAATCGGAGGCGGCAGGTCCGTAAGTTCCCCTTGTGAGCCAGGGCTCCTGGTTCGTTCATAAATCCCCATACCTTGAGTTTTCCATGTGTTTTACCTTATATTTTCCGACGTTAGCGAGGGAAATAAAACTGGATGATTTAGTGACAAAATCATATAGGCACAGGTGCACTATGGAAAAAAAACTACATTGGGTCTAGAGTTCAGACTCTTAAAAACATCGACAAGAAAAAGTACTTTTGATTCAATCAGAATCTAGCTGAAATCAAGAACCACGCCTCTTACTTTAGGCGGATTTCGTTTTGATTTAAGCAAAAATCCGATGGAATCAAGAGTATTTTTTCTTGTCAATGTTTTCAAGAGTCTGGACTCTAGATTCAATGTGTTTTTTTTTCCCAGTGTGGTCCAAAGATACAATTAACAGCTTTTTTCCTGATTCAGCAACCATCACACTTATACATGTTTTTTTTCCAGATTTTCCAGACCTACAGACACCGTTAAAAGAAAGGAAAAAAGAGAGGAAAAAGACAAGAAAAAGAGAAAAAAATAGAAGAAGATGCGTGGAAAATTATTTCCGCACAAGTTTTCAGGAAATACTGCTGGAGGGTTCCAAGTTTTTGAAAATTTAGAAGTTTAAGTAAAATTAAAGGAGGAAGCTCAAAACTTTTGAATGATACACGAAACAATTGACTATTTAATGTTAATTTAAATTGCGCAATGAGTAAAAAAACGATGATCGATTTATAACGGCGCCTACCTTAAATCTTACGGGCCTGATATTCATGAAATTACAGATTCATAATCCTAGGAAACTCTGAACTAAGCCGAATATTTGACAAGATTCTTCGATTTCCACAGAAAAGATTTACACCCTCGTTTTCAGAGAGAAAAGAAGAAAAATGATGGAACTTGCCACTGAATTAAACGTTTACATTAGTTTCTACGTACATTCGCCGGTTGCCAAAAATTCTGAGCGGATTCCTTCTCCAAAATTTCCCAAACGAGCTGTCGGCGCCGCGCGGAATGTGAGTGGTTATTCCACAGCCTGGGTTCCCTCGCTACACTTCGGGAATTCCTTTAAGCCTTCGTTACATGGATAATGTACGGACAGAAAGAACATTCCTTCAATCGAACATACCCTCCTATGGCACTTTCATTCTAAATGGGAGACAGAAATAATTTCAAGGCTGTCTCGAAAATTTTAACTGTTTTTTTTTTGCTCTTTCAAAAGTACCCACGGAGCAATCCTCTGAAAAATGATCCGCAGAATTCTTTTTTACGCTGGGTGATAAAAATCGCTTGCGGGCGATGGAATAGGAAAGCTAGAAAGGAACAACAGACCCTCGCGGATAAGCAAAATTAAATATTGCTGCATGTAATTTCAGCTGTACTGATTACACGATTAAGTACTGCCTTTCATGAAGTTAAGCCACGGGAGAAAACCGAAAAATCCTCAAACTTCAGCACCATTGAAAATATAATGAGAGTCAGGCTTACCTGCGGGAATTAAACGAGAAATCGCAGATGGAGGGACACCATGCATGCCTAATCTGAAACAGAAATGTTAATGTAATAATTAATCACGGTTGTTTCTTCAGTATGAGAAATTTTTTAAAATCTTCATAAAAAAAGCAAATAAAAATAGATTTCTAAAAAAAATCGGCAGGACGTAATTTTACAAAATGAGAGACGATTAAAACACATCTTTTATGACGGGTAGTAAAACTTGATTTTGTACACGTCGATGTGGGAAGCACTGTCATGCGTAACGAGGAGTTAGGTTCCATTGAACGAGGCAACTAAACTAACTCCGGGGCGAAGCGTGGGGTATCATATGAAACTGAAGGCGCTTTGAGCCGAAATCGATTTCCTGAAAATCCCCCGAGAAAAATACCTCGTCGGGGCAATTTTCAAGGACTCCATATTGTTCTCAACCACGGGCAAAAAATTATGGGGCATGCTCTGAGAATTTTAAAGGTTGAAAAATATTTTTTTATATTAATTTCCTTCTATCGGTGTTTTTTTTAGCAAGGGTGCAAAAAGTTCTTCCGCCTCCGCAGTTTCGAGCAACCAGGGATTTGGCCTCCGCGCTGTGATGTCGCGCGTTCTTAGTAATTATCACCAAAAGATAGCGCGTTCGCAGTCATTTTCTGAAAATTAAACGCGATCGCATTCATTTTCTAGAAATTCTACGCTTCCGCATTAAATTATCCAAAAATTCGACGCATTCGCACTAGTTTTGTGAGAAGCAGTGCGATCCCACTAATTCATAAACGTTCTCACTTGACGTTAGGTTTGATTCTTGGATACAACTATTTCAACTCCGGTGTATTACATGGTATCAAGCTCGATTGAAGGCGTTTTTAACGGCGTGATGTGCAACATGCAATGACGGAATGCCACAGCGACGACACGACGCTTCAGGCAAGATTCTTTGATACAAATATTTAAGCTCCGGTGTGTTGCACAGTATCAAGCTCGATTGAAGGCGTTTTTAACCGCGTGATGTACTACTCGCGATGACGCAACGCCACGGCAACAACGCGACGCTAAATAAAGGCTTGCATTAGACGTTGGGCTAGATTGTTTGATACAAATATTTCAACTCCGGTGTGTTGCACGGTATCAAACGGGATTGAAGGCATTTTTTGCCCTTGAATACTACATTTAATGGCGCGACGCCACCCTGAACACCAATCGTCCTTTGCGATTCCGAGTTTTGCCTTCCAGTCAGATTATCAATTAATCTCCAGACGAAAATCCTGAGGAAAAAAGTCCGAATTTAAAACAAATATTTCCCAAGACGATTGTACTCTATTTCTTTAGAGTGATGAGAGAAATAAAAAAAAAAATGAAACAAAGGTCATCTTTTTTGTACATTTTCTCAATTTTTCCGCGATCACCGGATCGCGAGATTGTACATTTTTTATGCACCCCTTGGAATAGTTTCAAAAAGTCTACGTCTCTTTAAACGTTAAATTTTTCAACCACGGGCACAAGATTGTGGGGCATACTCTGAGAATTTAGAGGTTGAAAAATATTTTTTTATATTCATTTCCTTCTATCGGTGTTTTTTTTTTTTTTTTTTTTTTTTTTTTTTTAGCGGGGATGCAGAAAGTTTTTTCGTCTCTGCAGTTTCGAGCAACCAGGGATTTGGCCTCCGCGCTGACGCTGGCCATCGCGCGTTCTCAGTAATTATCACCAAAAAATAGCGCGTTCGCAGTCATTTTCTGAAAATTAAACGCGGTCGCATTCATTTTCTAGAAATTCTACGCTCCCGCATTTAATTATTAAAAAATTCGACGCATTCGCACTAGTTTTGTAAGAGGCAGCGCCATCACACTAATTCTTAAAAAATATCGACATTTGTCATAGGATTTCGTAAAAATCAGCAAGTTGAGCGTTTCCTCGTGAGAATAAAAGCAATCTTTTTATTCGTGTAACCGAACTTTCGGTTCTAGTAACCGAGCCTCTTTCATCAGTTCTCTTAAAGTCATAATGTTGGTTATCCGAAATGAACGTTCGGTTATCTATACGAAGCGAAAGATGGGTTTGATGAACCAACTACTTGGGTTGATATTGACACAATTTTCTACTTCA